ATGAATAAAGCAGTTCACATTTTTACTTTTGTATAGGCTGAAATGACTCAGCATGGCACTGTTTGTTATTTTTTCTTTGAGAAGTTGGCTTTCTTGGTGCTCTTTTTCCCTTGTCTGAGCAAGAATGCCAAATGAATTCAGCTTTTTGTTTTTCAAGTCACAGTGAATGATGATTTCCTGGAGGCCTTCAACTGAAAATGCCTTGAGGACTCTCATTCATTTTGTTTATTAGAACTTGGTATTCTAGAACTGTACCATGCATTCCCTGAGCCCTTTGTGTCCAAGCCCCATCAGGGTGAGCATCTCCAAACTGAGGAAATAAAACAAGTGTGTGGGGGTGGGCTTTATATGTTGTTACTTTTTCTTTTATTAATCAAGTTATCGAATTATTTGTCCTTTCTGTTATGATGTGTTGACCCTACCTTGTATGTTTTAAAAGAAACTTCAAGGGGCTCAGGCAGTGTATAGATCCTACAAGACAATGTCTAGCCTAGCCTTGAAGAAAAATATATAAGAGGGTCCCATCAGACTGGGTTCGTGCACTGAAGCAAAAAACTTTGCCTTGAGTGCCACAAAAAAAATCCTCAGCAAAGGAGTCTTTGTCTTTTTTCTTTAAAATCACTATCACTTTAACATAGAAAATCTCCCTACCACGTTTCTATAATCTGAGATTGTATCTAGCCTATTAACTATGTAGTATTGAGGGAAATAATCAAAAGATGGAGTTGCCATTTCACATTTACAGACTGTGTTTATTGTGACTCTTTGTTTTAAAATTGGTCTCTTTGCATCTAAAGCACAACATCTGCAAGAATTTCTGTTAAATAGATTCTCACTTTAATCCTAATTCTTAGTTTACCTCATTAACCAGCACAATTTCACCAGGATGATTACAGTGGCAATTACCATCATAGGGAACTTTTGAAATATCAAGGTGGTGTATATAAAAAGAGAATACAAAGGGAAGAAAACTACCAAACTTTCATGGGTCAGTGTTTAGAACAGAAGTCTAAAATCCTCAGCAAGATTGTGATCCCAAATTTGTGGGATCCCAAATCTTCAGCAAGATTGTGATCCCAAAATTGTGATCCCAAATTTGCATTCCTCAGAGACACTCTGGCAAAATCTGAAGAAACCACTCTGAAACTTACCCTTCTGTGCCTCTAACATTCTTCATCCTGCTTTGACATTGCCACCTATTGTCTTCTTTTCCCTCACCTCGCTTCTCCACATTCCTATACAAATTACTCTTTCCTCATAGTCTCCATAAGGAAACTACCAATTTAATGATTTAATGCCTACTTCATATTGTTAGTACAGATGGTGCTCATTGGAAATTGAATTTAAGGCAAGAGTCATGAAATATATATTCCAAAACCATAAGGATACATAAAAACTTTGCTATAGAATTTCATGTTTTATTATTTTATTATTCACCTACTACTCAGGACAGTAGACCTAATCTATTGGCTCCTGAGATGAAGAAAGATTATTGAAGGCTGAGGGGTAAAAACCGAAAATGAAAGGATCCCTGTCCTCTTCCTTTTGCATGAAATCCCAAATAGGAGACATAAGAAAAAACAGTGGGGAATGAGACTGCAAATCTCAGAGACTGCAATATATACCTGAGCATTTTCAAAGAGACTCAGAAAATTATCAAGCAAGGAATACCAACTTAGGTCTCCTTTGATAACAACTAGCCCCCAATATAGCAACTGGATTGAAGAACTCCCATCCTCTAAGAATTAAGTATGTTTTACATAACGGGCTTAAGCTTAATCCAGGATAGCATAAATGGTGCTAGCTCACTGTCGTTTCTTAGAATTGAGTAATATTCCATTGTGAGCATATACCAAATTTTAGTTATCCATTCATGAATTGACAGGCACTTGGGTTGTTTCCATGACTGTGCAATAGTGAATTGTGCTGCCATAAACATTTGGGTGCAGATGTCTTTGTAATAGAATGTCTTATGCTCTTTTGGGTAGATGCCCAACAATGCTATTGCTGGGTCGAATGGTATTTCTATTTCTAGCTGTTTGAGGTATCTCCAAATTCTTTTCTACAAAGGTTGCCCTAATTTTCAGTCCCACCAGCAGTATAAGAGTGTTCCTGTCTCTCCGTATCCTCGCCAGCATTTGTTGTTTTGGGATGTCTTGATACAGGCTGTTCTCACTGGGGTTAGGTGGCATCTCATTGTGGTTTTGATTTACATTTCTCTAATGATTAAAGATGCTGAGCATTTTTTATACATTTGCAGGTCATTATTCTATCTTCTTTGGAGAAGTTTCTGTTCATTTCCATTGGGAGGTGGGCAGGGGGGAGGGGGGAGGAGGGGAAGAGTGGATACTAACATAATGGGTGCAGTGCGCACCATCTAGGGGTTGGACACGCTTGAAGCTCTGGCAATGCAGGGTGGGGGAGGGGTGGCAGGGGCAATATATGTAATCCTAACAATATTTGTACCCCCATAATATGAGGAAATAAAAGGAAAAATTATTAAAAAATAAAAGAATTAAGGATGTTTTAAGGCTATATTGCTTGCTATGTTTCTATATTTGCTTACAGATGGTGCAAGTAAAAACATTTTTGAAATAGCCAATGCCCCATATTACCAGAAAAGAAAGGAGCAATGGCCCCAAACTTATCAAATGATGCTGCAGCTGTCAATGCCTTGTCTTTCCATTGAATTCCTAAAGGGACTCACCTTTAATGACAGACTGTCAGTAATTTTTTTGTACATAGTGTGCTGTTATTTCTATCATAAATCCTACTACTGTAAAACAACAGGTATGTTGGGGTATTTAAACCACATGGATAGTGAGAATTTCTAACAGTTCCAAATTTTTCCACTTGATTCTTTTAAACTTTTACCTCAGATTTCTCAGCATTCTCTTAAAGCTAAACACAGAGCACAAAAAACTCAGACAAATTGTTACGTAATAGAAAAGGGAGTAGGTTATTTTTGAACCAGCAATGTAAAAAGGCCAAACAAAGGATATTATTTAAAAGTGATTACACCTTGATTTCCAATAGTATCTAACCCACACTTCTTTAGTGTCACTATATACTATTTAATTGCTTTCAACTGAGCAAACTTACAATATACTTGGAAAAGAATACATTGAGGCTTCTCTCAAAATTTAAATCAGCATCTCAAAAATAAAAAGTTTCCTTCCAAATCTACCCTAATCCAAAGTAGTGATCTACTGTGCTGTATTTGAAGTTATCAATCTGTCTGTACATATTTGTCTACTGCACTAGCTGAAAAAGAGTCTAATCTTTCTAAAAAAAAAAAAAAGCTTCCATATCCTATTACCGTATCTGATTATCCAGCCAAGATTTGTCAGCCAAGGGAAGAATATATTCTGGGGAAAGATTGGTGACTATTCAAAATCATCCCAAAGCACTTTGTAAAAGACAGCTATAAGGATTCTGAGGATTAAATGGTGATGTAAACAATTGGTTCCCAATTTTATGTAGTAGTGAGCTCTGTATATATATTACTAATTCAAACATTTCATCATAGCTTCCACTCAACCTAAAAACCAAAGATGCTGTCAATACCTCAAAGTAGCCTTCAATAACCACTTTTACTATGATTTCCAGATTAACATAAACATTATTTCTTTATGTTCATTAAAGTTCAAGTCATATTCTAGGGGTATTTACCCAACTTCCCAGAGGTCATCAAAGATCCTTCACCTGCTTGTAGAGTGTTTCTTAAATCCAGAGCAATTGTATCTTTAGCTAAATTAGTTGAAGCATCCTTAGATCTTGTACATGAATTACATTTATATTTCTAGTACTATATGCTGTATAAGCCTTATTGCTAACTGAAAATCCTTAACATATTTTGTTAACTTATTATGATTATGAAATATTGATTTCTCATCTCATACAACTATTTAATAACCCAGCAAATCTTTTACACTTTCCTGATGAGTATGCTTCTATAGTTTGAAAAATATCTTTGCCCAGGGTCAATCTTTGTGACACTTCCATAAAAATTCAGATCCAATATTGTTTTTGATAGGGTGTATCTTAAAACTGAAAAGGGGCAATACCAGGTTGGTTTTATAATAACTATTCAGACTTCAGTGTGGAATACAGTCAATTTCCAGAATCTGAATTTGCTCAAGTAGCCCAATCTATGGCCCTTTCTAGACGAGGATATCTCAGCCTCAGTACTACGGCATAATTCTTTGCTGTAGAGGTTGTCCTGTGTATTGTAGGATATATAGCAGCATTCCTGACCTTTATCCACTAGAAGCCAGTACCAACCGCATTCCAGTTGGCAGAACCAAAAAAGCTTCTAGGCAGAGGACATGGATGCTGCTAAACATCCTACAATGCACATGACAGCCTCCTAACCCCATTCCTCACAGCAAAGAATTCTGGACTAAAATTTCAATAGTGCTGAGCTTGGGAAACCTTGATAGAACTGTTATATTAGCATTTACATTTGTTTAGGTGATGCACAAATCAGTCTGGTGGTAAATCCCTCTAATAAAGTATGTGACTCTACAACTAATGAGACTTTAAAATTTATTAAGGGCAAACATCACCACAAACCAAATGACACAAAAACTAATAACATAATTTCATATTATACCAACAATAGGAAGTTTCTGCATCTGCAGAAATAACATTGCAGAGTACACTGTAGGGGGTAGACTTTACAAAAACAAAGTTTGATAAGGAACTTAGACAAAAATGGTACATGTCCCCATTGAGGTGTCTTTCTTTTACTGATCTAATAAAAAAGGGCAATACTTAAACTTGAGGTCCTTTTCCATACATCCATATATTTCTCTACTCTAAATGCTACTGTTTGGCAAATAAGCCTGTCTCTCAATTGACAACTTCATAAGCATATTTTGGCCAGAAGCCAACTATTTGGGGGAACACAATAATTTGTGTTAGGTCCATAGTATTTGTGTTAGGTCCATAATAGTGTTAGGTCCACCCAACATAAAGAAGAAAATTATGATCATTACCTTTTCCGATTAAATTTTCACACTGTCTATCAAAAGATTTACATATTCCATCAAAACAAAAGCCTGAACCCAAATCACAACTGTGTCCATTGCGTACGAAAGTGTCAGGCATACAGTGGGGGTAAGTTCCATTGCAATATTCAGTGAAATCACATTCATCATCAACTGTTTTCCTACAAATGTCATTAGCTTTTCTTAGCTACGAGGAAAGAACATAAGGAAAGATTACATATCAGTGCTACTTAAGTTTTCTTTCTCTTTAGCCTCTAAATTTTCATTTATTTTTTTCCTAAGTTACTAAGAGCAATAAGGAAATTAAGTTTCCTTATTAATTACTTAAGCATCATATAGAGATTTATATGATTAAATTTATTGTGTAGAAAAATGGATAATGCTTGTGAGAAAAGCTAGAACACTCAAAAATAAGCAGACTACCATAATAGGAAGACAGAAAGTGGGGCTAAGGAATGACTATAAAAATTATTTGTAACCCATTATGGCTATGCTCACTTGTGTAGCTTCTGGTTTCTTCATATACCAACTTTAAAGCAGAAATCAGCACCCATTTATAAAACAATAAATCCACATCATATACATTTAGAAAATATTGTGGATTTTAAAAGAAGATATTTTAAAGACATCTAGGAGAAAGTTTATTTCATGTATCACATTGCAAACAACTTAAAAAATAACTTTCATAATTACATATCTCTGATCTCTTTAGCACTTACTCTTGAGCTGATAGCTTCCACGGTTCCCTTGCTATATACCTATCTTTGCCAAGGAACCCTAACCATCAACTCTGCAAACTCTCCTTTCATCAGCGTATGCCCCAATTCCTCATGGCTATCGCCATTACGCTTTGCAAAGTAAATTAAAATTTTTCTAGCTTTCAAAGGTCCTGGAGGCCAGCTTATATAACATTTATCTCCTAGAATAGGTTTCCTTCATACTTTTTCTCCAAGTGTCAACAAGTATCTGCTACCTGTAGCAAATCTCACACAAATTCTCTAAGTGTTAGATGATAAGACAAAACACAGTATTTACTTGTATCACTCAAGCTTATGGAGTTAACATGTAACTCAAAACAAATGATCAAAATTGTTTCTAAAGGAAAATACATATACATATAATGACAAAGTATTAATACTTGTTCCTTCAGAATTTGCTTCCTTTTACAAATTTGTATAAATGGAAATCTTAATTTTATTCTAATATCTTTTTATTTATTTACTTATTTTCTTTTATTTCATCATATTATGGAGGTACAAATATTGTTAGGGGGAGAAGGATCAAGATGGCGGACGAGAAACACCGCCAGAAAGAGTGTCTCTGCAGAAAAGACAGATTCTAGCAGAAATTAGAAAAAAAGAAGAAAGAAGGCGAGCATACAGCAGATGAGGGCCAGAAGGAGGGGTACCCGAGACCCCGGGAGACTCCACGGGAGGAGGCTGCGGAGGAGAACTGGAAGCTGAGACCACTGGAGCAGCCCGGAGACCAGCGGGAGGGGTAGTTAGATAAATCACCTTTCCCCTCCCCTGCATTTGGGACTGCTGGTGGGCTCCCCAGCAGGTGGAGAGATCTGCAGACACCAGCCCAGAGACGGCTGCCGCCAGCTAGCGGTGAGCCTGTAGCAGACACGGCACCAGACTCCCAAATCCCTCGGGGCACCTCCGTGTCCACATTCCCGAGCCGCGCGGCAGGCGCCATATTGCCTCCTCCTCCCCTCCGCCCACCCTACCTGCGGCTGCCCAGAGAGACAATACAGCCACCTGCCAGAGGCACCTCCAGGGAACGGGACCTTCCCTTTTGGGACCCTACAGCTGACTAAGGGGAACTCAGACTTTGAGCTCCCTACCCGCCAGAACTCCCAGGTGCTGCTGGCACGGTGTCCCCAGGAGAACGGTGCCGACTCAGAGGCTGAGAGACACAGATACAGCTTGGGCTCCCTGTGGGTGAATTGGGACCGGAACTCCTCTCCCTGGTGGGGATACAGTTTGAACTCTGGGACCCAGATGTCGGACCTGCAGACCAGATCCCGTGCACGGAGGTCTACCATTGCCCCGGGCACAGAAGGGATATTTGTGAAGAGCCTGCTGAGGTGTGTGTGCCTTCAGGGGCAGATCAGCATCCTAGAGGGCAACCCTCCCCCCAAAGGGAGGCTGTGCGCCCAGCCCAGGTGGCGTTCCTGCACAGGGACATTCATATACGCCAACAACAATCTAATTAAGAACCAAATCAACGACTCAATTCCCTTCACAATAGCAACAAAGAAATTAAAGTACCTAGGAATATACCTAACCAAGGAGGTAAAAGACCTCTACAGGGAGAACTATGAAACACTGAGGAAGGAAATAGCAGAGGATGTAAACAGATGGAAATCCATTCCATGCTCGTGGATCGGCAGACTCAACATCATCAAAATGTCTATATTACCCAAACTGATCTACAGATTCAATGCAATACCTATTAAAATTCCATCAGCATTCTTCACAGATATAGAAAAAATAATTTTACACTTTGTATGGAACCAAAGAAGACCCCGAATATCAAGAGCAATTCTAGGCAACAAAAACAAAATGGGAGACATTAATATGCCAGATATCAAACTATACTACAAAGCTGTAGTAATTAAATCAATATGGTATTGGCACAAAAATAGGAATATTGACCAGTGGAACAGATGTGAGAATCCTGATATAAAACCATCCTCATATAGCCATCTAATCTTTGACAAAGCAGACAAAAACATACGCTGGGGAAAAGAATCCCTTTTCAATAAATGGTGCTGGGAAAACTGGATAGCCACCTGTAGAAGGCTAAAAAGGACCCACACCTTTCACCTCTCACAAAAACCAACTCATGCTGGATAACAGACTTAAACCTAAGGTATGAAACTATTCGAACTCTAGAGGAAAAAGTTGGAAACACTCTCCTAGACATCGGCCTGGGCAAAGGGTTTATGAAGAAGTCCCCAAAGGCAATCACAGCAGCAACAAAAATAAATAAATGGGACATGATCAAACTACAAAGCTTCTGCACAGCCAAAGAAATAGTCATGAAAGTAAACAGACAACCTACAGAATGGGAGAAAATTTTTGCATCCTATGCATCCGATAAGGGACTGATAACTAGAATATACTTAGAACTCACGAAAATCAGGAAGAAAAAATCAAATAACCCCATTAAAAAGTGGGCAAAGGACTTGAACAGAAACTTTTCTAAAGAAGACAGAAGAATGGCCAACAAACATATGAAAAAATGCTCAACATCTCTAATCATCAGGGAAATGCAAATCAAAACCACAATGAGATATCACTTAACTCCAGTGAGAATGGCCTTTATCAAAAAGTCTCCAAACAATAAATGCTGGCATGGATGCAGAGAGAGAGGAACACTCCTACACTGCTGGTGGGACTGCAAACTAGTTCAACCTCTGTGGAAAGCAATATGGAGATACCTTAAAGCGATACTAGTGAATCTACCATTTGATCCAGCAATCCCATTGCTGGGCATCTACCCAAAAGATTCAATGACACTCTACAAAAAAGACACCTGCACTCGAATGTTTATAGCAGCACAATTCATAATTGCAAGGCTGTGGAAACAGCCCAAGTGCCCATCAATCCAAGAATGGATTAATAAAATGTGGTATATGTATACCATGGAGTACTATTCAGCTCTAAGAAACAATGGTGACATAGCACATCTTATATTTTCCTGGTTAGAGCTGGAACTCATAGTATTAAGTGAATTTTCCCAAGAATGTAAAAACAAGCACCACATATACTCACCAGCAAATTGGTATTAACTGAACAGCACCTAAGTGGTCACATAGGTACTACAGTAATAGGGTATTGGGCAGGTGGGAGGGGGGATGGGGGCGAGTATATACATACATAATGAGTGAGATGTGCACCATCTGGGGGATGATCATGATGGAGACTCAGACTTGTGGGGGGGAGGGGGGAAGTGGGCATTTATTGAAACCTTAAAATCTGTACCACCATAATATGCCGAAATAAAAGTAAATTAATTAACAAATAAAATAAAATTTAAAAAAAGAAAGCCCTGCTTCACCATTTTGCTTCATCCCTTGTCTGTCAGGAATTCATTAAATGATGTCAATAAAAGAGACTGACTGATGGTAACAATAACTGAATTGCAAAGGAAGAGAGGACTTTACCAGAAGACCGTCAAGTGAATACAGCCAATGAAAAGAACTAATCTAACTTTCTGAACCTAAATGAGGTAGACTGTAAAAGAGTTGCAGTAGGCATATGTTGATCATAGAGAAATATCAGAGGGTACACAGAAAAATTGTAATGATACATTGAATTGGGAAATCAAGTCAGGAGAGAAGCATCAGGCATTATGTATATGAGAGTACACATAATGTACTCAGTAGATGACTGGATGGACTGGAGTGTGACAGTGGGTCCAATGGTGCTTGGATATAATATAATGGAAAGGACTGAATATGTTATTGAAACACTTTTCATCTCCTTGAAACAAGCACTTCAAGAAATTTAATGTGGAGCTATTATCAAATGCAGTTTGCCTCTGACCTTGCAATCTTGTGTGCAGCACTCTCCGGAACCACAGGCTGCTTTGCCTTTCAATGTGCATAACATGGGATCACAGCATTTTTTATGTGTACAATTCTGTAAACAAATGCAAAGTGTTATTTAATAATAAAATGTTATTTAACAATAGCATATGATTAGGTACCACCAAATAAAACCACAACACACAACCTCAATAGATATAAAGCTTTTCTTAAATTCACAGTTCTAGTAATCCCATTCTTTATATGAGATTTATAGAAACCAACATCTTATTCAGTAGTTTGTGAAAGAAATATACTATCTCACTACATGCCATATAATTTGAATGATATTCCTGTGGAGGCAAAGCCTATTGGAAATAGTTATTAGATATCTTATTAACACATTAACTGCCATGTGAGTTGTAGTTTTGAGCCTGGGGCCTCGTGAAGCAAAACATTGCAGTTGGTTCGTGAAAATCTTATTTGTTGAGATTCTTATTGTTATAATTAACATTGACAATTTAATTCCAAAAATGTGGGTTGCATTGCATATAACTCACACAAAAAAAAAAAAACAAGAAAAAATAAGAAATTTTTTCATTAAACTAGAAACAATTATTCTGTTTTCAAACTTTTCTTTTTCTCAATATATATATTATTTTATTTCAGAGTATTACAGGGGCACAAATACTTTGGATACATAAATTGCCTTTGCTCCATCTGACAAGTTTACCCATCCCCCATACAGCATGCACTACATCTGTTAGGTGTGGATTTACCCATCCCCTCCTTACCCCTCTGACCTGCCTGACACCCAATGAATGTTTCTTCCCATATGACCACGTTAGTGTTGATCAGTTATTGTCAATTTAATGGTGAGTACATGTGGTGTTTGTTTTTCCATTCTTCTGATACTTCACTTAGAAGAATGGGCTCCAGCTCCATCCAGGATAATACAACAGGGAGTTTGTCATTTTTTCTTATGGTTGCACATTTTGTTAATCCACTCATGTATTTCTGGGCACTTGGGTTGTTTCCACATCTTTGCAATTGTGATCTGTGCTGCCATAAACATTTGAGTGCAGGTGTCTTTTTCATGGAATATCTTTTTTTCCCCCTTTGTGTATATATCCAGTAATGGGATTGCTGGATCAAATTATAGTTCTACTTTGAATTCTCTGAAGTATCTCCATACTCTTTTCCATAGAGGTTGTACTAGTTTGCAGTCCCACCAGCAGTGTATGAGTGTTCCTATCTCTCCACATCCATGCCAACATTTGTTGTTTTGGGATATTTTGATAAAAGCTGTTCTCACTGGAGTTAGGTAATATCTCATTGTGGTTTTGATTTGCATTTCCATGATGATTAGAGATGTTGACAATTTTTTCATATCTCTCTTGGCCATTAGTCTATCTTCTTTTGAAGTTTCTGTTCATGTCCTTTGCCTGATTTTTCCTTGCTGATTTTCCTGAGTTCTATATAGATTCCAGTTATCAGTCCTTTATTACATGTGTAACATGCAAATATTTTCTCTGATTCTGTAAGTTGTCTGTTTGCTTTCATGATAGTTTGGCTGTGCAGAAGCTTTTTAATGCAATCAGCTTCCATTTGTTTATTTTTATTATTACTGTGATTGCTTTGGGGACTTCTTCATAGATTCTTTGCCTAGGCCGGTGTCTATAAAAGGTTTTCCATCATTTTACTCTAGAATTCTTATGGTTTAATACCTTGGGTTTAAGTCTGTGATTCATTGTGTGGTGATTTTTGTGAGAGGTGAGAGGTGCAGATCCTGTTTCAGTCTTCTAGATCTGGCCATCCAATTTTTACAGCACCATTTATTGAATAAGAATTCTTTTTCCCAGTGTATGTTTTTGTCTGCTTTGTCAAAGATGAGATGGCTATATGATGATGGTTTTATTTCTGGGATCTCCATCCTGTTCCATTGGTCAATGTCTCTGTTCTAGTGCCAGTTTCATGCTGTTTTGGTTACTATAACCTTGTAGTACATCTTGAAGTCGAGTAAATTGATGCCTCTCAATTTATTCTTTTTGCTTAAAAGGTTTTCTAGATCTTCAAAACATGATGCTGGTATTTTAATAGTGATTGCATTGAATCTGTAGATCCCTTTGGGTAGTCTAGACATTTTAACCATGTTGATTCTGCTGATCCTTGAACATGGTATGGTTTTCCATATGTTTACATCCTCTGCTATTTCATTCCTTAGTGTTTCAAAGTTCTCCCTGTAGAGGTCTTTGACCTCTTCTGTAGTTAAATATATTCCTAGACATTTTATTTTCTTTGTTGCTATTGTGAAAGGTAGTGAGTCTTTGATTTGGTTCTCAGTTTGACTGTTGTTGGCACATATAATGCTACTTATTTGTGTACATTGATTTTGTAACCTCATTTTGCTGAACTTACTTGTCAATTTCAGTAGTTTCTTGGCAGAATGTTTGGGGTTTTCTAGATATGAGATCATATCCTCAGCAAAGAGTGATAGTTTGACCTCTTCTGCCCCAATTTGGATGCCCTTGATTTCCTTGTCTTGTCTGATTGCTCTGGCTATGACTTCCAGCACTATGTTTAACCACTTTAGGACCAGCGTCGACTATAGTCGATAGCCACAAATGAACACATACAGCCCAGTGTCGACTATAGTCAATAGCCACAGATGAACGCGTGCAGTGACTTTAGCCAACAGCCATGATATGAAGGCGCACAGCCGAACGTCGACTTTAGCGGACAGCTGTGATATGACTTTTCTAATTTTTCATTTATCAAAATAAAATTGTGAACATTTAAAAATAACGTAATGAAAACATATCTGTATATGTTACCTATTCTGATATTTACATTACAAGTAAAGCTGCCTGTAAAGTAAAACAAGCTTTCAGTGCTTTAAAGCTTTCCTCATCACACAAGAGCAAAACAGATTCGTCATCAATGCACAGCACAAGCTATTGTGCAGACTATGAATGCCCACTGTGGGCAAGTTTTCATGGCCGGTAAGCGCAGTCCCGAAGTGGTTAATAGAAGTGGTGATAGAGGGCAGCGTTGTCTGGTTCCAGTTTTATGCAAAACTGTTTTCAATTTTTCCCTGTTCAGTATGATGTTGGCTATGAGTTTGTCATATATGGCTTGTATCATTTTGAAGTAAGTCCCATGTATGGCTCTTTTGTTAAGTGTTCTTATCACAAAAGGGTGCTGAATTTTATTGAATGCATTTTCTGCATCTATTGAGAGGATCTTATGGTCTTTGTTTTTACTTCTGTTTATGTGGTGAATTACATTTATAGATTTGCATATGTTGAACCATCCCTGCATCTCTGGGATGAAGCCCACTTGGTTGTGATGGATTATTTTTTACTCTATTTTTGTAATAAGACACTGTGGCCCTAGGGAAAATGTGTTTTCTAATGTGGCAGTCAATGTTTTAACTACCATTCCCATTAAACATTTTCTAATATTATTGCTTTTGCAATAAATTTTATTAACCAGATCTATTCATGTACAGGCCCCAAAGTTACATACCCTCAAAAATTGTTCATAAAATCACAAATGTTTTCTGCACCTGCTCCAGTTCACAATGCTTGTAACTCACTTCTTTGGAAGAAATAAAAAACTAGAGATTCTAGAGCTACACTGTCCAATATGGTAACCAGTAGACATGTGTAGCTATTTAAATTTAACTAAAATTAAATCTAATTAGCAATTCTTCAATTACAGGAGTCACATAATGGCTAGTGGACACAGCACAGAACATTTCTGTCATTATAGAAAGTTCTGTTGAAGAACACAGCAGTATAAAACTTGTGAATTGATGTTTAATTTTACCAAGTGGTTTTTATTTATATATTGGATATATCATATAACTTTGTCTTTATTTCTTTTACCATGGTGAATAAGACGGATTTATCATCAAATATTAAATCAAGATTATATTCCTGAAAAAAAAACCCAGATTTATTCTGTTAATATATGTTTAGGATTTCTGCATTGAGTTTCATTATAGAGTCTGGCTTCTCCTTTTCATTTCTTATAATGAGCTTCTCTGGAGGATTTTTTGGGTTTTCATGTCAAGTTTACACTAGTTTTATAAAAATGAGTGGGGAATCATTTGTGAAAATAATTGGATTATTACTTCCTTCAATACTAGTTAGAATTTATCAGAGAAGCCAGCTGGTCTGGTGGTCTTTGGGAGACATTTTTAAAATATGGATATAACTATTTTACTAGTTATAAGACCACTCTGATTTGGTTTTTCTTATTGAGTCTGTATTTATAAGTTTGCCATTCTAGTAATTTGTTATATTTATTAAATATTCATATTTATGAATTTTTTATCTTATCTCCTTAACACTGTAGGTTCTGAATTATTATGTTCTTTTTCAGTCCTGATATTTATTGTTTATGCTTTTTCTTATTTGGTTTTATTAGTGTTATTTGAATTTTTTTTCTTTTTTAGTTCTTCCAAGGAACCACAACTTCCTTTCAAGCTATCAATTACATAATGATTGCTTATTTTACTAATTCTTGCTCTTATCAATATTATTTCTGTTCTTCTATTTTCAACAGATTTAATTTTATCTTTTCTAAAATCTTAAAATTAACACTAGCTCATTGGTTTTTCTGCCTTTTTCCTTTTTTAATATACACATTTAAGTCTATAAATTTTCTTTGAAGTATGGGTATAGTTAGACTGATGAGTCTTGATATGTCTAATTTTCATTATAACTTATTTACCCACAGGTAATTTAGAAGTGTAGATTTTTTTTTACTTTTCAAATATTGGGTACATTCTAGCTATTTTAATAGTATTGATTAATAGCTTTATTTCAATGTACTAGGTAAACATGCTGTTGCACATCTTTATTTTTTCTACTGGAACACTATGCAGCTTTTATGTACAGATACAAAAGAAAACATTTGATGCATATTGATGAGTAATAAAAGCAAGTTGTAGAAAAACACAGAATATTATATCATTTATGTCCAAAACCTCCACACAGAATTATAGCACATATTTCTATAGACACATATATCTGTAAATATAGAATTAAAAGTCTGGAAAGACATACACAAAACTGATAACAGTGGGAATCTCAGAGATGGGAGTGA